TATACTATCCTGTTATGTTGAAAATATATCGTCTATCGCAATGACCCTGACTGGCCAATCACATTGACAGCTTGATCTGAATAACAAAATTGTAACATATTATCGATATTTGCTTTTAGTCATATAACTAACCATAAATAGTGGGCCAGCATAGTAAAGTCAATTTTAGCAGACATTTTTTTTATAACAAAAGGAAACTGAAATATCTATCACAGAAATATCTTAGAAGGTTTCTTCGGAAACATATTCTCTAAAATAACTGAAAATGTATCTGGAATTGCAAATAAAGTAGCGCCTATTGCATTAAACGTATCAATAGCTTTTGCCACCGTAGCATCATCTGCAGCTGGTTGAGCTGTTGGACGTAAAATTAATAAAATTATGGGCAGATTTCCTGGCACTCCATCAATCTCAAGCGATGGGGGATAAAACAAGCTATTTAGAAAATATCACCAACATCAGAAACCACTGTGGCGTTGATCAAAACGAGACAAAACTGCTATCAGGCGAAAACATTATTAGAAAATTTGTAACTAAAACTAGACCTCAGAGTGTTAGCACTCGACAACATATTGACACTTTCTACTGGGATGCCTTGCAGGTTAAAACCGTACCACGGTTTACGATTTTTTTAAAAGAATATCTTATAAAGAATGTCTATAAAATTACCTAGAACTGACTGAGAAAAAACAACAGATACCAACAGAATTTAAATATGTTGAATATCTGGATGAAAACTCAAACGAAGCAATCAAAACAGGCCTACGTACTTATAATATAGGAGACAAAGATGTGTTTCTGTTGCCACATAAAGCCGTACTTGAAGTACGAGGTAGTATAAGAACAGGCAACAGGGGCAGTAGTACCTGCTGGTACACAGGTATCAGTAGAGAACAATGGTTGGAATTTATTTAGAAGAGCCAGATATCAACTCGCTAATCAATCGGTATGATATATTTCTAAACACTTTGCAGTAGCAAGTACTATTCTTAACGTAGTTTCATTTAGCGATGACTACTTACGATCTGTTATAACGAATATGATGTGGTTGAAAGATGCTAGAGGTGGAAATGCAGTTACAAGCGAGTTTTCTCTTTTTAATGTACTTAGTGCTGGATCTGATGCTGCCAACATATCAGATATAGTAAGTAATTTTCTTATCGAAAACATTACTTTATTTGGAATTATTCCACCAGCTGCACATGCTGATGATGCTGCTACAATGACTTTTGATAGCAGCTTGCAATTTTTTTGAAATTACCCACCTGAAGGTGCAGATGTTGGAACTGCAATGTTAGCAGTAGTAAATCATATAATAGAGAATATTGTTATTAGAAAGCTAACACCTATTTAGGGTTTTGCTAAACGAAATGAAATCTTAGAGTACTCACACCAAATGATAATGATGATTCTGCTTAGCACAATATTCAGAGTTATTCCGTGGTATGAAACATACACTTATACTTGACCGAGATGCTGAAAATGATTGTCTAATGCGAACTGCGGGTATTGATGCCACGTGCCGTTCCTTCGATCGATAAAATGATCTATTTGAGGCGATGTTAACAGCATTTACTAAAATGTGTATTTTCTGCAGAACAAAGTTTATCGAAAAGCAGTACCAGATTCCATTGCTAACACATGGAATGTAACAATAAAACAGTTAACAAGACACATAAGTTTTGTTTTTCAATGACAGAATCTACGTAATAATCAACTATAAAACAATTCAGTTTTTAAAAGTCTTGATGTCAGATGAATGTTTGTCATAATAAATTCTAAATAGTATCCAGAACTGGATATCTGTTTTGCGCTTATATATATCTGATGGAGGCCATGCAAAAATATCAGGATACTAAGAGTGGATCTGAAATTTCAGTCAAAGAAATTAGAACACTTTTTTTCGATTTTCCGAACGAGCTATTCAATCAAATTGAGATATAGAGGTTATACAGACATTATGACTAATTTCAGATGTAGAAAATTAAGCTTATGCACTAATGGTATAAGATAGTGTCTTAACGATAGATTCTACGAAGGGCAGAATGACGGTCCATTAATACCAAGTGTGAGCACTTGGTTTATGAGTTATACATGAAACGAACATAAACATATGCCAGGGGTAATAATAAATATTGGCATGACAACGATAAGACAGCACCATCAAGTTTCAATACCAATCTTGATGCAAATAATCTGTATGGTTACGGAATGTCGGAGTTTATGCTCTCTTGGTCGGTTGAGGTGAATCGTTGAAAAAGTTTTTCGAGGAAACTGATATAACTATACAGGACGATATTAGTTGTTTTATTGAAGTTGATCTTGATATTTTGCTGAGCTGCATGATAGGCCTAATGGTGATCAATTTTGTCCAGGATCAATGCTGATCGACTACAGTTTATTATCTGATGAACAGAGAAATTGTTCACACAGTAAATCTATCTCAAGCAATTCCTTTGTTCCCAAAATAGTTCCTAATCCTAATTTGCTTGACAAATAGAGATATGTTTTGCATTACAAAATATGAAACAAGTACAGCACTTGATCAAGGTGTGACTCTAAACAAAGTTCATAGAGTTTTAAAATTTAATCAGCTGTTTTGATGAAAGATTATAATGATATTAATACTAGCCGTGGAGCATTTGCTAAAACAGAATTCGATATAAAAACTTTTTCAAGCTCATGAATAGCAGCGTCTTTGGCACAAGCATGTACAACATCAGAAAGCTAGTCAATATCGAGACCGTCAATAAAGTGGAACTTCGTAAAAAAACTATTAGCATCTGATGATTTTGTTAGTATGAAAATATTTAATGACAATCTGGTAACAATTCAACGAAGAAAGACAAATAGAAAGTTGAACAAGCAAGTTTATTTCGTAACAGAAGTACGCGAGAAAACAAATGTGGCTAAGGTATCAATTTCATTACGATTTTGTTAAGGTTAATTGGCCTGATAAAGAGCTGTTGTTTATAGACTTATGTACAGGATAAAATCTGATGATAAGTATCAACAGTTTTATGACAATAGGGAACTGATTGATCTTTCGGATTATCCAAAGGACAGCGGATTCACTGCGACAATAACAAAAAGGTAATAGGGCAATTTAAGGATGAGACAAATTTTGCTCCTAGTGTTGAGTTTATCGGGTTGCATAGTGTCTAAAACTAGTGGATAATAAAGATAAGAAAAGAGCTAAGGGAATAAAAATGTTGCCGGTAAGATGATCGGATTCGGTAATTATAAAACTGTATTAGACGGGTTTTCCAGATATGTAGAGATGATGTAAATAAAATAAAATTGTCATAAAATTGAGACTGATTTTATTATAAACTATGGTCTTCATAAGTTTGCTGATAAAAGATACTGCTCTGATGAGATTAATACATTTGTGGTAGGATTAAAAATGTCTGATAGTATTGATTTTAACAAGTTGGCTTTTTAGATTGGTTATTACTGGAATTTGCATGTGAATGTTAGGTATAGTAGAGTGCAAATCACTCTAATTTTGCGTGAAATATAAATATATATCTCTAGCAATTTCAATTAAAATGTATAAAAGGTCTTATTTCAGACGAACCCTGTTTTGTCTGACGACAATGATGATTAAATGATAGGTCCTACGGTTCGGTAATCGATAATGTAATCAACGCTGTTGCCACAACAAAGTTATTTTCGTATTTTGTTTAGACTAACACCAGAATGGTCTGACAGGGTAAGAATAATAATATTGTCATAGTACAAAAAAGGTGACAATGTTGTAAAGCCAATATCAAATCCAAAAATTCCTTTTCCGTTGTGGAATAATTTCTATGATGCTTATCTAACTTTTAAAAATATCACATTGAATGATCTACACCATTTATATCTTATCGAATCATTACCTCAGCAACTAAAAAATCACTTGAATCAACGGACGTTATTAAAGATGAGCAGCGGAAAGATATACCATCTTAAGTATGGCATTCAACTTATGAGAAGCCTCCTCAAATTATAGAGACCATTTAACGTGATTTTCTTACTCAGTAAATTGATAAGGTGTTCAGCAATTATGGAAAACTTGGAGTAAACTTACCTGATTTTAATTGGTCATTTATCCGTATACGGAGTGTTTTATTCCTGATGTGTTTTCGTATTTGCTGAGGGCGTTACTCTACCATGGCATGCAAAAACTAGCGGTGTATAAAATGACTGGTGTCGTTGATAGAATCTCAGAATTTCGACCACATGTTAAGGCTGCATCCTCCAATCTCAAAGTGAGTGATGAAAATTTATTTCCTCAAAGTCGGTGGGTACATTATCTTCTCCATCTCTTTAATATAATAATTACTTAATCAAGCGGTTCACAGTAAATCGAACATGTCAAACGTGTGATCGAGTGATTGTGTGATTAAAGTTGTTCCGTCGTTCTCAAAAACGTTTAATTTTTTTTGGTGTTACAAATGGTGGAATTAGTAATACACGGTATTCCAGGAAAGTCATTGTGAATCTTTTTCGTTTGTATAAGAATTTTGTCAAGGAGGTGATGTCATAGTGTGTGATATTCGTCTTCCATCACATGTCAGAAGAAGACGAAGATGACATTAATCTATGTTTGATACAAATGCGACGGCATCATAATGCTAGTATAATATATTACGCAAGTTTATTTCCAACAAAGACAAGTTCTTCGCACAATTGGTCTGAACGCACAATATATGGTGCTGTTTAAAAGTTAAAGTGACAAATCTCAAATGCTAGTTTGGCTAATTTACATGCATGACTACGACACTCAGTCTCCACATGCGTATTTACTTATCGATTTAAAACCTACCATTATTTTTGTCCTAGTGCTTTTCCCCACGATGTCACATTTGCACCTATATTTACAATCATTGATGGATCAAACAGATGTTTGAAAATTAGAAAAATTGTAAGGGTAAGGACTTTAATTGCAACGTCTTCAGCTGTTTTCGTAGAAATCTTTAGACGAGATAGCTATACCAATTCCCAGAGAGACCGCTCCGGTGGATTAGTGGTTAGAGCGTCCGCCTCGGATGCGAGAGGTCGTGGGTTTGAAACCCAACCGAGTAATAGCAACACTTACAAAAATGGTACCAACAGCTGTCTCGCTTGGCGCTCAGCATTAAGAGGTTAGTGTTAGGATTGGTCTTTCAGGTATCAGGATAGTATAACTAGGTGGGACATCATGCCCCAGTGCAAGTCATAACTAGAAGCTGTGACAGAGCAGACATAATAGCGACATGACTGAAAAATTGCTAAAGCTATGTTAAAAATACAAAACACACACAACTCCGAGAGATTAAAAGAAAATCAGAAAAGCGAAGTAAATCAGGAAGCAACACAGACGATTGCAGAGACAGACATAAGGATGGAAGAAAAAGAAAAAATAAAGAACACACATGGTTCAGACTAGGTATCTTCATTGTATGATACAGTCTATTACAATTTAAAAAAGACAACAAATAAACATCCGTCATCCCGTCCTCAAATAAACCTCCCATCTGTGCAATGAGCATTCATAGAGAATATTTTTTCAATTCTTTTTGAAAGGTATTTCACTTATTTTCAACATTCCAACTGGAAAAGCAATCACGAAAACTCTTCAAAGTGTATTTCTAGCGTATCATAAAACTACCCATTGTCTTTAAATGCACTGATCTGACGGCAACACTATGGCTATTGCTTTACTTCCAGTTTGTGTTCTATTTGGTTGGATACTGATTTCTTGCTGGCGTGAAAGATATGGACAAAACGATTGATCCTACCAGTAATTTCGCTATCTTATTGTATATAATGAAAGAGGTAAATTCGCATTTATGTATTTGTGTGACATTGAGATCAACGTCGTGAGAGACATAGTAGCTCTTATTGCTGAGGTTCATTACTTTCAAAGTGGATTATGCCATTGCTTCTACAGTGAAAGCGGAAACAGTTATCACGTTCACCTCATTATATTCCTGTATTTAGTATTTTGATATTAGAATAAAAGGAGATTCTGAACAAAATATCATGTTCTCGAAAGAAAATGTCACGGTGACAATATATTTTCCGAAACAATTTTCTAGTGAAATGTGATCGGTGCAACCGGAGTACCAAGGAATCTGTCAACAACGATGACATAGTCTAGAAGATCTGTTAAAATCGGCTTTTAATACGTTAGTGCCCATCTCAACGTCGATGGTGACTTGACAACAATGATGACTTGTTTAAGGTGATCTGTTAAAATCAGCGTTTAGTATATTAGTAAGCATTTTAACAACAATTATGACTCGAACTGCCATAAAAGACATACTTTTGTCAAAAGGTTAAAAATTTCTACCTAAGCATACTGGTCAACAAAATCCTAATACATCCTTCATTAGAGCAGAAAATTATATGAAGTGTTAAGCAAGAAAAGAGCTTATAGGTCGTCAAGACACCACAATAAGTTAGAGTTTACAGACTAATCCAAGAAATTAATATCTCCTCCATTTCAATTCAAGTATAAAGCAGCAAAAGTCCTCACATTGAAATCGTCTAGATATCAAAGATACGTTCAGAAAAAATAGGAATAAACGAAGAATAATAATCAGAAAATTGGTCATTCTTGCAAACGTTCCAGGTCAAAACTTGTCCTGTCTTACATGCCACCGACGATGATGACGGTGCAAGGATTCCTATGAATAGACTTTTAGGCTGTGTAAACTTTGTCCACCTCAGCATCTTTTATATTTGAAATCAAAGGACAGACCAAGATTGCATTGATTTGAACAATAGTTACTTAAACGTTTTCAAAGCATACAACAGGAATTTAATAGAAGATGACAGAATAGACGTAAGTCTGATTCTGGCTGGAAGTAGTGAAGTGTTTAATTAGATGACTAATGCTCATGCGTACAAAAAAGCCATCGAAGAAGCCTGACTTTGTATGCACCTTGCGAAATTGGTACCTTAAGTGGTAATCATCAGTCAAACTCTGAAAAGAACATCAGCCACGTATCCGATACGAAGAGCAAAATTTAAATCCTTCTGATTCAAGATCTAAGATGATTTGGTTTTTGAGAATAGCTGCCAAACGTTTTTCTCCTTAGCTTTCTTGGTAATTCTTTCTTAGCTCAAAGCAGTTTCACGACCCAACCCTTCAACATTTCCAAGATAGAAGTCATCCGAGACGTCCAGATGATGTGTACTAGAGCATCTTTACCTTTTTCCAGAACAAAATTACTTGAGATTTCACGTTATACTGTTTAAAGCCAAAGTTATGTACCAATGGCAGCCACGTTATTTTGTAAGACGGTTATGCAGGAGGGGATGCTTTCCACCCGTTTTAATCAGGTGAACTTCGTGTGGAACTTTAGTCTGCAGTGGCTTTGGCGAATGCAGTTAACGTCACCTTGTATGCGGAATTTCACAAGTACTCTGGAAATTAACAGTTTCATAAATGTAATCCTAGACTATTTAAGAATGGAACAAGAACTCATGGAGATAGTAATAAGCATGTTTTGTATCCAAAACTTCAAAAACAGCATCAATCACAAAACAGAAGGATACGTATGATCATCCTGAATAGAACCAGCATGATATAAGACGACCGAAGAACTTTGCCAGAAGTGCCGGCGCAGACGTGCAAAGTATGATTATTGATGGCGATTATTAATGTCGATACATATTTCAATCTCGGATTTAGATCATGTCTAACAATGTTGCAAGGTGGAAACAGAAGATTTTCTTGCGCGATTCACATATTTTTGGATTCTGCAGACACGTAAGAAAGGTCATTTTTGGAGCCAAACATACTGTAGTATTCGCACAATACGAATAAATATCGTTGACCGAACGTCAATTAAAGAGATTTAACAAAGCTAAACACGAAAATAAAGGAATATTATTAAATCTTTAACTGGAGGAATATTTCCGCTTCTTTCATCTATCCAAGCATTAATAGCTTCAGCCACTTCAGCTGTTGCAAAAGCTGGAACAGCTGCTGAAATGGCTGCCAGGCAATCAACAGTGAAAGGATTAAAAAGACTACGAAGGCACGGTCTGAGACTTTAAGGTTCTCGACGAAACAACGTTTGGTAAAAAGGATTAAAAATTTCCTGGATTCGCTGTTTTTCCATTATCGAATTTTGGTTTGCTAGAGCAGGTGCGTGATTGCGCATAAAGAATTTTGCAGTTGTTTTTATGCTTGACCATTTACCAAAAACATCCAAATATGTCCGAAAGAGGTATTATTAATCTCGAGAAAAGTTCTTGAACAATTACTCGCTGAGTTGCAAACGTGACCATCCGCTTGGAATTATTTATTTCTATTCAAATGGATTTGCACCACCTGTAGAATTTATGAAATATGTCGATACAGCCAGCACTTCACAAGATTCCAATTCAACGTTACCAACACAAAAATAACGGATTCACATATAAGGGGCTGTGTAACACTAGCGGTACTTGAGGATGTGTCAATATTAACGAAACCAACTTATAAAGCTGTACATGAATATAGATGAAATAATTACTAAACATATATATGGTAGATATTTACGGACGATCAGTTAAAACCAAACCTCAATAAGTACATCAATAAGTACCATCCGAAGATTTACTCAGTCGAGTAACACTGCAAATCAGTGATGAATTATCTGACATACTCAATCTTGCCAAAGTTGACCAAAACGAACTTGCTATATCAAAACCGTGAAGGAAAATTGAAGACGAGTAATACTTCCATCAACAATAATATTATTTGTAATCGATAATCACGAGAAGGTCTTCTTGCTGTGTATGTAAGAGAAGTTAAACTTGTTCCTAGCAGTATTACTGCGGTGTCGATCAATGATAGCATAAGTGAACGAGTGTTTAAAACCGGTGATACCATGTGCGGCGTTCTCAGCATGAATCAGCATGAATAATAATAAAATTACCAACATAAGAGAGCTGATGGATAATCATGACGCAGCAACGAAGAAATATTTGGACAATAGGGAAACTCCTGTCTCAGCGTAGTTAACTACCATCAATGATGGAATGACCACACTCAATACTGATTTTGCTAAACAAGTACTACTGTTTCTGAATTTTCGCAGAAAGGTGAACAGAACCATTAATGAATTGTTTTGAAATCCTCCAGCCGTTGACATAAAACGTTCTGATGCAAATGCGAGGATTATCGATATTATTAGAGGAATTCCTAATATTATTAAAAAAGTCAACCTGATTAAGATTCCTCACCGACGAGCTAACAATATTTTGTACATGTTAGCATTCGGAAACTGTAAAATAACTCTATCAAACATATCGCAGAGGTCACTGGTGTGTATAGGCTATCGATATTTAGTTCTGCAAAATTCAGGATTTTCATTACATTTCGACTGCGTTATTCGACCGATGATCTTTTTGGAACCGCCTCTGTGGTGATAAATAGAGACACCGAAGAAGAATTTATACTAGATCCATTGAATACAAAATTAACTTCAGCATCGTACTGGTGGTGCATATCTGAGACAACGACAACAACTAAAGTAACGACGATTACGGCGCCGATTGTTGTAACAAACATTGTTTTCATCGTCAATCACGATCGCTTGAATATTTAATATAATCGTGATAAGATAAATGAAATATTGAACGGATACATGATGAAATTACATACATCAACGACTGCATGCTCTAACTTATCATCATTGATTACTTCGTCACTCAGCTATGGAACGATATCCAACGACTGCATGCTCTAACTTATCATCATTGATTACTTCGTCACTCAGCTATGGAACGATATCCAACGACTGCATGCTCTAACTTATCATCATTGATTACTTCGTCACTCAGCTATGGAACGATATCCAACGACTGCATATTCTAACTTAACATCATTGATTACTTCGTCACTCAGCTATGGAACGATATCCAACGACTGCATGCTCTAACTTATCATCATCGATTACTTCGTCACTCAGCTATGGAACGATATCCAACGACTGCATATTCTAACTTATCATCATTGATTACTTCGTCACTCAGCTATGGAACGATATCCAACGACTGCATGTTCTAACTTATCATCATTGATTACTTCGTCACTCAGCTATGGAACGAT